GGGCACAATAACATCCACTATGGTTTCGGACACCACTAAAAATGGCTGTCCCTTCAAATAATGCCCTATTTGAGGGTATAAGGGGGCGATTTCGGATTCAGCCTAGTATTCCTGTCTGAACTTACTCATTGTGTTGTTGTCATTAGGTGCAGTAACAGAAGTGCTGTGTGGAGCCCCCTGGTGGAGGATCCCGAGAGTGTCTCCATCCAGACTAATGTCACCTACAACAACACACGCAGGATCCACCAAGCGCACAGTCAGGTGACCCTCCTCCGGCCACAGCTGGTCACCATCCGCTGTGAGGCCAGCAATGAGAGAGGAGCTCGAGCCAGAGACATCAGACTGGTCAACAACAGTGAGTGCAGTGTGTGTGTGTGTGTGTGGAGGGTGTTAAAGCCTCTGTGTGAATGTGTGAAATGGGGATCTTCTGAATGGAGGAGCACCCGTGGAGATCAAACACAGAGTGACTTTGGGTTTAATCCCATGATCCTCCAGGACTGCTTTCATTAGCACCATGAATGTGGCGTGAAACCCGTTGAGCTCATTGAGAACCTGATACTGGTTCAGCCGTGAGAAAACCCACAAACACAAACACATGCCAAAGCTGCAGGAAACACTTCTTATTGACTCTCTGTATGAGCCTACAGGTTTATATATGAGCCTGGCTGCCTTGATTAACCGTCAGCTTTGTCTCATTAAACTTTCCTAATATGACATATTTTTCTGTGAAATGGTTATGAGAAAAAAATGGGACAGAACAGTAATTTATTGAATTGTGAAATGTGTCTCTGTGTGGAAAATGATTAAAAATACATCCAAAATTTTTTTTTTTATTAAAACTACATAGTTCCCCTTTCAGCATTCTTAATTAATGTGTTTATTAATTGAGGTTTTGTTTGTATTAATATTGTTGATTGATGTCATATCCTGTCTCCAGTTCCACTAGTTCCTCATCAGATAACAGGAAACCAAGAAACTCTTGTTATTTACAATGTATTTGACATGGAGTTGTCTTGATTTAAAGTCAACGTGAACCTTCCGCATTGTCCAATTTTTACTTTCCTATTTTACATATTTTTAAGTGAAATGGATATTCGATGCAAAAAAAAATAGCACAGGAAATAGTTTTATCCATCAATAATTGAATAGTGAAATGTGTCTATATGTGACAATACATCCAAAAATGTTTTATTATTTATTTTTTGAGAATGAAGCTGGATATTCAGAGAGGGGAAACATGTAGTACAGCTCTTGATTCTGTCTATCAAGTTCAAATCAGGGTGATATAATTCAACATGTCTCTATATGACAGGTGACTGAAAATACAACCAAAAACGTAATTTAACCGTAAATAAATAATTTATTAAATGTTTTTTTTTTTTGTTTTTTTACTATTTGATGTCCATAGTACATTTAGTACACACTGCACCCTCAAAAAAAAAAGTCACTTCAGCTGCAAGTATCAGTATTTAATGTGTTTTATATGAAGATTTTGAGTACATAACTTTCATCTTTTCTGTCCAGCGTTGTTTTCCCAGGTGGCAGTTCTGGCCGCTGTCTTAGCACTGGTGGTCATCGTCATCATCTCCATCATCATCCTCGTCGCTGTGTGGAGGAAGGTCAGTGACATCACATCCTGTCTGACTGCTACAGATTTAACATTGTTAAACTGAAACTCTATATTGTATTTTCCTGCAGAAGCCACGGTATGAAATCAGGTGGAAGGTCATTGAATCGGTCAGTTTAGATGGACACGAGTACATCTACGTTGACCCCATTCACCTGCCCTATGACCTGGCCTGGGAGATGCCACGGGACAGTCTGGTTCTGGGTGAGAACAGGACACACTTACTTTACTGTCTTTTCTAATCAGATTTTCCTGTAGCTGGACATTCAAAGTGGTCAGAAATACTGGATTACCACTTAGTGTTTGAATGTCCAGGTGTTTTGTTTACTGACATGTATCTGTTTCTTCAGGTCGTACGTTGGGATCTGGAGCGTTTGGGCGTGTTGTCGAGGCGACGGCGCATGGCCTCAGCCGTTCCCAAACCACCACTAAAGTGGCAGTGAAAATGCTCAAATGTACGTGTGAAACACACACTTAAGCACAGGTATGTGAGTGTGACTGATGGTTGTAGTCATTTGTGTTCTCTCGTCACTGAAGCGACCGCACGGAGAAGCGAGACACAAGCTCTGATGTCTGAACTCAAGATCATGAGTCACTTGGGTCCTCACCTGAACATCGTCAACCTGCTGGGCGCCTGCACCAAACAAGGTACAATGACATGTCAAGATACTTTTCTCAAATGACAAAAATCGTTGTGATTTTATCATTTTGAGCAAATCAACTATGCTATTCATTCATCAACTAAAACCAGTGCTCGAAGTGGGGCGGTACTCACTGCTACGCAGTACCAGCACTTCTACATTTTACTCTTAAGCGTACCTGCACTTTTTCTTGCGTACCGCTACTTCTCGCATGTAGCCGGTACTCTATACCACTGACAGAAGAAGCGTGACGGCCGTTTAACCCCTTATTTACACTGCACACATCTGCGGCGCGTTACGGCTGCGAAACGGCTACCGGAGCTGATCGCGGCCACCGCAACCGTGAGCAGCGCGTATTTTTTTCGGCTTGCATGTTAATCAATGAGTGCATTCACACATAGACAGAATAAGAAGTGGACAGAGCCATCTCATTGGAACTCAGTTGAGACAGTTGAAGCCCATTTTTAGCGATTTTTGAGCACTTCCGTTCCTGACGCGCAGACTCAAACCGACTCAAACTAAGCTTGATGACGTGAGCAACCTGTCTGACAGACGTTAATCTTCTAGTAGCTGTGCGTGAAAATTGCCAACGTTAATCTTGCAGAGACGGGGAACTTGAGCAAAGAGTTCTTTGGCGAGAGTGAGCAGGAGTAAGTATTCCGTTGCTTTTATGGACTCATTATCTATGGGCTTCTCCCTTGACGGGACGTCCCCCCGATTGCCTGCGAGCTTCTCCTCCTGTCTGTACGGTCATTTCTGTACAGCGCGACAGAGAGTCGAGTGGTTATGACGCAATCGTTAGCCTATTTTTACTACGGGGGCATAATGTAACATAGAAGGTAATGGAGCCCTTTATACATTGTCGTGTTTCTTTAGAAATAAATAATGGACAAATGGAGCCTTTAAACGCCTCAGATGTAAAGTTATTCGCTGTCAAAGTGACGCCAAAATTAATGGGAGTCAATGGAAATGCTAACGCAAGTGAAGTTCTGCTACAAGATGGCGGCACCCGGCCGGCTTCAACTTCCGGTCGATGGATTACCCCCTTGCATTCACACCGCAAGGAGGAGCGTCGCGTGAGCAGCAGTGAAGCGGGGCTGAGTCTATTTTTGTTGTGCTCACGCTCATTTAACGTGAAAGCACACTTTTGATGGAGCAAATAAATATGATTTCACACAAAAAGTGCCCAAAATGCACAGAATTTGCATGTCTAGTGTGTTTTAACAAGAACTGGAGTAGGCTACGTCAAAATGAAGACTCAAAAATATTTATACAAGATTTAGCCATTTCAACTTGTCTTAATTATTCAGTTTGGGTAAAACTATATGTTTTATAAATTAATAAAACGAGCAAATTAGTCAGAATATAAGCTTTCATTTAGTTTATGTAATAGCCTATACTGTACATGCCCAAATCAAAACCCGAGTGTACTTTTTTTTTAATGTTTGCTGTCTTGTAAACATATCGAAGTATAACTGAAAAGACAATATCAGAGCTGTTTTCTTGGTTGTTTTTGTTGTTTACCATTTACATGCAATTGTTGTATACCTCCCATCTTAACAAACTTCAAGAATCAAGTTTATTAATGACCAACTTCTAAAAAAAGAGAATGTTTCTTTGTAAAGAAATGCGCGCACGCACGCACACACACACACACACACACACACACACACGACTTGTTTAAATACATTCATGTTGTTAATAAATAACAATAAATTGTTTTTGTACCAGCAATATTTCCAAGTTTTGTTTTTCAGTGTAGAAATGTCATGATTTGCCAATGCAAGAGAGTACCGGCACCTTCCCCCCCCCCCCCCCCCCCCCCCCAACTTCAAGCACTGACTAAAACTAAGACTAAAATGGCCAGACATTTAGTCGACTAAAACGCGACTTAACAAAAACAGGACAAGGTTGACTAAATATGATGATAAGTAAAAAAGTACATTTGACACTGGACTAAGACTAAATTATCAAATAACTGACCAAATAAACACTAACAGACACCTTTTCCTCACCGTGTTCTGAGATGTCTTTTCAGACTGTATCTTAATTGTTTACGCAGGTCCATTATACCTGGTGACAGAATACTGTCGCTATGGCGATCTGGTGGACTACCTGCACAGGAACAAGCACAGCTTCCTCCAGTCCTACGCCGACAAGAACCACATCACCAACGGCAGCCTGATCTGTAACGATAGTGACGTGCCAACCGGGAAAGAGTACGAGAATTACAGCCGGATTAACTGCTGTTTTATTTCTCAAATCAATATGTGATTTCATTATTCTACACATAGACACTAACTGTCAAAAGATTGGAATAATTAAGAATTGTTCATGTTTTAGTCTCTTCTGCTCACCAAAGCTACATTCATTTGATCAAAAATACAGTGAAACACTAATACTGTGAAATATTATTACAATTTAAAATATATTTTTTAAATATATTCAGATATAAAACAGTTAATTTATTCACAAATCCAAAGTGACAGTAAAGACATTTCTTCACAAAAGATGTTTATCCCGAAAACACTGAAAAAATGCATCGGTTTCCACTAAAAGGCTTAACGTTGATAATAATAAGAACCATTATTAATAATTAAGCACCAATGATAATTGATCATTATTGAGCACCCGATTAGAAATCAGTTCTTTAAAATTGTAATAATATTTTATAGTGTTATTGTTTTTACTGTACATATAAATGCAGCCTTAGTGAACCTACGAGACTTCTTTCAAAAGCATTAACAAATGTTAATTATTCCAAACTTTTGACCGATTGTGTACATTTAAAAATAACTTAACTCTAACTTAACTTGACTGTAACATTAGATCATGTAAGACAGATGTAAACTTGCTGTGCAGATATGTGTCGTTCGGCAGCGAGTGTGATGGAGGATATATGGACATGACTAAAGACGAGCAGATGGAGTATGTGCCGATGCAGGAGCTCGCAGACTCTATCAAGTATGCAGATATACAGCCATCACCCTACGAGTCCCCATACCAGCAGGACATCTACCAGGAGCAAGGTACACGCCAACACCCATTGTCTACTAGGGTTGGGTAACGAAACCGGGCACCGATATGGAACCGGTACCCAAGTAACCGGTATGTAACCGGTTGATCCTGAGCGCTCATTGTCACAGTTGTAAACATGACGGCGTTCTTCTTCCACGAGGGGTTTCGCGTAAGGCATTTAAAGTGATGCGTTCTAAAATAACGCTCACCTTGTGCAGGACATGCAATAAGTCAGGAGAGGTGTTGTATTTGGCCAGAGAAGGCAAAAAATGTGGAAGAATTGCTGAAATTTAAAGCTGGTTTGTAGCAGAACAAGAATACAGACTGCTTTGCTGTTGTTACTGTAGTGTTAGATTATTGTATTTGGGTAAGGTGGCTTAGATTTTATTGTGAATTTGTTATGTACGTTTTTTGTGTTTTGTATTTAGACTACTTGTATTTATATATTTACTTTACAATTTTAATATATATCAAATTTTAAGAATTTTTTTATTTATTTATTTTTTCAATAAAAAGGCCGTTCTTTAATGTCATTTACCATCGTTTTGAGGCTCTATTTTTTTTTTTAAGTATCGGTTCAGGCACTGTTTAAGGCACCGGTACCGTTTTAAAAGTATCGAAAAAACCCAAAACGATACCCATTCATTCCCAAACCTCGCTGTCAGCTCAACCCCTTAGATGTCAAATATTTATTACAATACCTGTTGAGTTTTAAGGTCATATTTAAATCATTTTACAACACATTTGCATGTTCAGGGTTCTCTGATGTTGGTTAATGGTCACATGACAGATAAAATATTTTATATTTTTTCTGTAAAAGTTTTATTTTGATTTGTTTTTTATTTTAAAAATGATTTAGGGTGGCACAACTCGGACAAAAATATTATTATTATTATTATTATTTTACATAAATGTCAATTTTAACAATGATGTAATATTTAATCTCATATGAAAATGAGACCTTTTCATGTGATATTGCTGTTGCTGATACCAACTAAGACCTCTCTCAGAGTCTTTATTATTATTAGTTTGAACTCTAATAAAAATGAAGACATAAATATTTTACTGTTGTACATTACATTTGGACTGTAAAAAGAAAGATAATTATATTAAAACAAATATTGTACGCTATGTTAACAATATTTTTGTCTTAAATCCTTCACTTTAAAATGTTCAAACCCTCAAGTTTTTTAACATTTCAAATTCTATAGCTTTTAATTTGGGAGAAATATTGGTAAAAATATATATATATTATGTTATATAAAATTGTATATACTGTGTATGTATATATATATATATATATATATATATATATATATATACACACACAGTATATATATTAATTGCATTTTTGCACTTAATTGCACTTTTGCATTTTTAATTGTATTGCATTTATTAATAATGCTAATAATCACAATAAACAATTATTTCAATATTTGCTGAAATGCCAAATGTCGATCACAGGATTTATTAGCAGCACTGCCACATCTGGTTAATCTTCATGACTTTGCATATAATTCATGTAATTAGTTGCATGAAATGTAACAGTTCAGTATGTTTAAACAGTCCTTATTTATACTTTAATTTTAATATTGTAATATTGTGGTGATTCAGAAAGAGGAAGTTCACATCATAATGTAAGACTGTAAGGTTTTGTCTTGTTGTGCAGATGCTGAAACCTTCTATCCTAAAACTCCCATCATGCCTCTGTGCTCGCTGTGTGGTCTTTGGCTCTGTGATGCTGCGAGGCCTTCAGGTTGAGCACAGACAGAGTCTGTGTGACATAGAGATCTCTTTCATAATGCTCATTAATGCTTCACTTCCTCATCTGACAGGATATCCGAAGAACTTAATGAAAGTGAAACGCTTGAGGTTTCTGCGCTATTTAAATCAAGACTAAAAAGTCTCCTTGTATATTTTTATATATATATATATATATATATATATATATATATATATATATATATATATATATATATATATATATATATATATGTATATTTATTAATTGTTTGAGTATTTCTTGAGACGTGTTTTAATTTGAGCTGAGAGGATGAGGTCAGGATGAGTTCAGCTTCTCTTGGACATAGAAAAACCTGATAAAACAGTACAATTTCAAAACTAAGAGTTTATGCTTAAACCAAGAAAAATTTGTATTTTTTATATTTTTTAAAAAAAAATCTTGTTTTAGGCATAAAGTCAAAGTTATCAAAACTTAATTTAGATTTTTCAGCTATTTTTCTTCTCAAGTACCGGTAAATGTATATTGATTTAAAGTGGCCCTGTTATGCTTTTTTTCTGATATTACCTATATTACCTAGAATGTAATAACTGTTTGTGAATGTAAAATGTCTGCAAAGTTTCAAAGATCAAAGTGCAGAAACTAGTCGTCAGTTATTCCAGTCTTACATCCCGCTCAAACATAGGATTGTTACAAATGTGCACATTTATACTGTAGTTGTAGCCGAGACCGGAAGAGTTTGGTTCATGTTGTTGACATGTCGAGAAGACGCTGAGAAAAGTAAATCAACTTTGATGCACTTCCTAATGATGAGGACTTGCATACGGTAAAACCTATGCAGTCGGAAACGAGAGCTTTAGAGAGACTGAATCCTTTATTGAACAGTTTCAGACACTGTGAGAAAAGAGCTGATGCTGCACTGTATATTAGGAGAAAACAAAAGTGTTTTTTGACCTTGAATGCATGTAAACCTATTGTAGGAGACTCCAGAACAAAATTAGGAGCCTTTAAAAAGCAGAATAGGGGCACTTTAAGAATAATTCGATATTTGTACTAGAAAAAAAGACAAAATCCTAAGGAAGAAAATCATTTTTTTGCAGTGATGCTAGAAGCTAATACCATGGTAATGCCATGGCACTACATGTTTGTATTTGCATCATCAAATGAGGCTGTGTGATTTATGTTGTGTGTTTCACAGGTCACAGGGTGGATCATTCTCTGGTCATCAGCGATTCTCCGGTTCTGAGCTACGGTGACCTTGTTGGTTTTAGTTACCAGGTGGCCAAAGGCATGGAGTTCCTGGCCTCAAAGAACGTGAGTATCTGTAATAGTTACAGTACTAAAGCTGTTGACCTGCAAAACATTAGACCTAACATGATAAAATGACATCAGTCCAATTACTCACCGTTCCACTCGGAAGAATCGGTCAAGCATGTTTTAATATGCAAGTAGCATGTTATTTTAGTAGCATTGAGATACTCTTACACATTTTATTAATATTTTGACTTATTTTAATTTGAAATTTTCTTTAATTTTGTAGAGTTTTGGCATTTGTATTAGTTGTTTTTTATGTCTATATAGTTTAACCTTTTTATTCATTTTATATTTCATCAAGTACATCAAGTTAAACTAAATGAAAATGAGAATGTTGCTCTGAGAACTAGCTGACATAACCTTTTTTTTTAAACTTAAACTTAAATTTTAAGTATTTAAAGTATTTCAGTTAGTTATTAAAGTTTTTGCTTGGTTTTAGTTAAATATATTAACCCTGGCCAGTATGAAAACATACATCACCATCTACTGTTGTAAATGGGAAATGCATCCCGTCTGTAAAACAATGTCTTGATAAAGCTTCAACCTGCTGAGTATTTCTTTTTGCTGATCTAGAGAAAGTGTCTCATTTTTTTTCTTTGCAAAGTAAAGCACATCTTTCTGTGTCTCTGTCAGTGTGTCCATCGAGATCTGGCAGCAAGAAATGTTTTGATCTGTGAGGGCAAACTGGCCAAGATCTGTGACTTTGGACTGGCCAGAGACATCATGCACGACAACAACTACATCTCCAAAGGCAGCGTGCGTAGATCCCTCAACACATTCATTCAAACATGCAGTGAATCACTGAAGTCGTAGTTGTGCTTTTAAAATGAAACGGTGTGTTTCTCTGCAGACGTTTCTTCCTCTGAAGTGGATGGCGCCGGAGAGCATCTTTCATAACCTGTACACCACTCTGAGTGACGTCTGGTCTTACGGCATCTTACTGTGGGAGATTTTCACTCTGGGTGAGTCCGTTCACTTATTCTTTCTCCTGACGGTCTATGCAGTCATGTTATTTGTGTAAATAAACATTAAATGTTAATCCCCAAATAGAAATGAACATTGATGAGGTTTCTTATATTATATATTGTACCTGAAATGTGTATTGTGTGAAAAAGCATGGTGTGGCAACGCCACGGTCATGGGTTTGATCAGAGACAATTTATATAAAGACATGCCACTTCCTCAATCCTCAATACAACTATATAGGGAAAACCTGTAACGCCAAAGATGGCGGTTGTATGCACATGCCCCGCCCCTCCCGCTGGAAAGCCAATCGTCTGCTTTTAACGGTCAAGCCGGGAAACATGTAAGCCTATCGTCTGGTTCCACTGACGCATGCACACAGTTGAGGTTTGCGACAGCGGAGACGAGAACCCTTGCGCATGCGTAGTAAACGTATAACCTGTGGGGAAAAAGACCTTTTAAACCTTATTTTGGGGCAAAGTCATCAAACTTTTTCAGCGATTTTTATCATATTTTACTGCTGTTTCTATACAAGCAGTTTTTATGTCCCGGTGACCAGTGAAAGTGCAGTTCTGACTCTCTGCCCATTCATTTAGATAGGAGCCTGGTCTTGTTAGTCCAAAATAGCTGCCCGAGATGGCGGCCGAGTGGCATGACTTGCCTAAAAGGACTTGATTCCCAAGGAAAAAAAATCTAGCTTGAATGCAAGCTTTGGATAAAAGCATCTTCCAAATGCATAAATCTGATGCAATAGTGACTTTTACTTTTGGGCAGCCAGTATCCTAACATAGATATTGTATAAACGTATATTTCCTATAAACAGAAGAAATTTGTCTTATTACTACTTATTCAGGTCTGTGTTTAAAGTGTTTAAACCTATACACAATTGATACTGTATACATGTCACTATTAGCAATGACATCCATTTTATATGATTATAAGAATTCTTTGGCAACACTTTTATTATCCAGTAGGGTCCTATTAGTTAATGTGACTTAATGCATTAACTAACAATTGAGCAATGCATTTGTCATTAGTATTTATTAATCTTTATTAATGTTAGTTAATACAAATTCAACTTTTCATTGTTAGTTCGTCTTATCATTAAATAATATTAACAGATACTTTTGATTTGAAGATTAAAAAAAGCTTTAGAATAATTTTCAGTGTTAGTTCATTCAATGCATTAACTAACAAGACTTTATTGTAAAGTGTTAGCAATTCTTTCATAAGGCATGTTTGCTTTTCTTTTATTAGAGATTTAAAACGATCAATTTTAAGCACATAACTGCTCACTGATGAATTAGCAAAAACTGCTTTGAGTTTTCCTCTTTTATGTGAGTGAAATGTGGAATAATAAGCTCTCTTTATGGCTGATTCTGCAGGAGGAACCCCGTATCCAGACCTGCCGATGAACGAGTTGTTTTACAGCGCTCTGAAGAGAGGTTTCCGCATGGCCAAACCCTCATACGCCAACGAGGACATGTACGTTTGCACCGCTCAATACTGCCGTGAATGGCAATTACATATAGGCTTGCATGCTTATTATTGCATTTATCCTTGTTTTGTATATTCATAGAGTCAATAAGATTGTGCTCAGTAACAGGATAGGTTGTCTGTTTAAATCACAGCCATTGTGCTTGTGGCATCTCTAAATAAATGTGATGATGGTGGGTTCGGATTGAAGGCTGATGGTTTGTTCCTCTGCAGTTATGAGGTCATGAGGAAATGTTGGGATGAGAAGTTCGAGAAGCGTCCAGAGTTCTCCTTTCTGGTGCACACGATGGGGAACATGCTCTCAGACGGATATAAAAAGGTTTCCTTTATGTTCCTTGTTTCGTTTCCATGGTTCAATCATAGATTGCAAAGAAATTCTAATTGTAATATTCCTAAAATGATTTTCTCTGTCATTTTGTGGTAAAGCCCTTCACGCAAGTACTCTAAAATCACACAAAGAAAAGGAACATGCAGAGAATCGCAAAATTTAAGCATTCCTTCAAACTCAAATGCAGAAATAATCCATTTAAATGGGAGCAATTTGTAACTTAAGAATGAGAGAACTTTTCGATACATTTTAAACAAACCATCTTTTAACCTCTTGGATTGCAAATGAATTGTGATTGCAATATTCCTAAATGTCTTTTCTCCATCATTCTGTGGTCACAACTTTTGCTAAAGTACTTTCAAGCATAAAGCAGAATTTAAGCATTCCATCAAACTCAGATGTATGAATAATCTGTTCGAATGGGAGCCATTTTTAAACTTAGAATGAGAGCAAATATTGATACATTTTCAACAAACCTTTGAGTTTTAAGAAATGTTTCTTGAGCAGCAAATCCTCATATTAGAATGATTTCTGAAGGATCATGTGGAGGAACGATGCTGAAAATTCAGATTTGATCACAGGAATAAATGACATTTTAAGATTTAGTCAAATTGTAATAATCCGTAATAATATGTCACTGCTTTTACTGTATTTTTGGCATCATTGGTGAGCATTAGGCGCTTTTAATAATTAAAATATCTTAATTATTCCAAACTTTTTCATGAAAGCATCATCATCATCTCTCCCTCAGAAATACTCTCAGGTGAGCGACAGCTTTCTGAAGAGCGATCACCCTGCGGTGGCTCGTGTGAAGCCGCTGGTCCCCTCTCCGTTCCCGGGTGCCTTCTCTCTTGAGTCTCCCACCTCAGATGAAACCCCAAACCCGAGCCCGCGCCCGCAGGCCGACGGAGAGGCTCCACACAACGAGTACATCATCCCCATCCCCGACCCCAAGCCAGAGGAGGAGCCCCAGTACGAGCCTGTGCTGACGGAAACCCCCTCGAGGTAACGCTGGCTTCCTGTGTGATCACAAATAAATCAGACATTATAAACCACAGAGGATGAAGGAACGATGAGACATTACCTCTTCCTCTTTCATACGGAGAGGATCACTTCTCTTTTTATTTAAAAAAAAACTGCATGAATAATCTATTAATCTATTAATCATCTAAAAATTTTACATTTAAAATAAATACATGCTAGCTAGATGAATACATAAAATTATTTTATATATATAAATACACACACATGCTTGTATATATTTAAGAAATATTTTCATGTATATACTGTATATAGATTTATATATAATTTATATTATATATTAATATAAATATTTTATATATAAATTATATATTTTTCTTAAATATACATGCATGTGTGTGTATTTATATATATATATACAAAATAATTATACACAGTGCACCCACATATATTATGTAAAAAAAACTTTTATTTTGGATGTGATTAATCGTGATTAATCATTTGACAGCCCTAATATATATATATATATATATACAGTATATATATACGCACACACACACACACACATATATATATATATATTAAATGTAAAATAAATACATGCTAGCTAGATGAATGCATAAATAAATGTGTATATATACTGTATATACACATGCACACACACATTTATTATATATAAATATATATATATATTATAATAAATATGTATATGTAATATCATTTAATTTAATAAAATATAAAGGATATATAAAAAATATGAAGGATACATATAATATAATATAAATAATATATAATTTTAATGTGGAGTGTTTATTTATTTATTTATTTTACATATATTCACTTGGCCAAGCCGACATCTGCATTCATGGTATAAATTGGATCAGTATGTTTGTAAATAGTTATATAATATATGATCAAATATAAAGCATATATAATATAAATAATATATAATAGTTTGATGAATTGTATATTTATTTGTGTATTTATTTATTTTACATTTATTACTCGACATATGCATTCATGATATACATTTGTTCAATGTGTATTTAAGATTTTTAATAATTATAATAATATCTATGCATATAATGTGATAATATAATACGATAAAATATAAAGGATTTATAATGTATATAACACAATACAAAACTAATAATTCTTACCTAAAGAATTTCCAAATTGTTAACAGCACCCCCTGGAGGTTCAAACTTATGTGATGTTAATGTCTCTCTCTCTGTCTCTCTCTCTCGCTGTCTCTCTCTCTCTCTCTCTGTCTCTCTCTCTCTCTATCTTCAAAAGCTCTTTAAGTTCTGATGATGAGACGGTCTCCATGGAAACCCCGAGTACTGAACCCGAGCGAGAGGAACTCCTGCCGGAACATTCTGGAAGTCCAGAAGTGGAGGAGAGCTTCCTGTGACACATTCCTACTTCCTGTCACATGAAGTAATTTTAATGTACATTTTGAGCAGATTTTTTTACAAATTGTATGCATCAATTCAAAAGAAATGTTCATAAATACATCAGAATGATATGCTAGATTTCCTCGTGTGCTTTTAAAGGACCGTCTGTGAAGGTTGAGGCTTGAACCAGATCAGTTTTTCATTTTTTTATATTTTTTTTTATGGTACAATGCAGTATTATAAACTGCAGAAGGCAAAGCTGATACTGTACATTAGTTGTGTTATTCAGAAGGTACACAGTTTCAAATCAAACACTTCAGAGATATGATGTTTTACATTATAGATGGTTTTTAATTTTTACTTTGTGTTTAAATCATTCTCAGCCTATTTTGAACATTATTGAAAAAATTAAGTGCATATTTCATTTCTGTATTCAGGCAGCGGCCTGTGACTTTTGATTAACTTTCTTTTTTGTAAAGATTCTTGTAGCAAACTTGCACTTTAATGTTTATGAGTATATTTACACACACGTGATTGTTTATGATTCTGTAAAGTGAAAACAACACAGAACACAAGACTACACTGCAAAAATGATTTTCTTACTTAGTATATTTTCCAGTACAAATATCTAAACATTCTTAAATCAACATTTACTTGAGAAGCAAAATGACTAAAGATATTAAGTCTTGTTTATTTGAGAAGCAAAAAGACATTGTGTCTTATTTTCTGAAAAAATGTATCAGGTGAGTTTATGCTTAAAACAGGAAGAAATAAAATGTGATAAGAAATATAAACTTAAAGGGATAGTTCACTTTGAAATAAATTTTTGGTATGTTTTAGCTTACCTCAAGGGCATCCAAGATGTAGGTGTCTTTGTTTCCGCAGTAGTTTCAATTTTGATATTTTTAGGTCAAACCGTTCTTGTCTGTCAGTCATATAATGCAGGTCTATGGTCACCACCTTAAAGAGCATGCACAGAGAAGTCCAAATTAAACATGATTTAATGACTCGTAAATGTAAGTACACATTGATGGCCTAAGACACGAAACGAGCGGTTTGTGTGAGAAAACGAACAGTATTTATATAGTTTTTACCTCTTGTAACCACAGCCACGTCCAAGTGATCTGAGGGCGCGGGCGCTTCGGTCTGCGCTAGCGCCGGAAGTGATCTCTGGCGCGGTTGCGAAAAAAAATTCAACGTTGTCTGTTGTTGATATATCGAAATTGTCTTCCATTGCGATTTCCTGTATATCTAAATATGTTTAGATCTTCACAGTGAAAGGTAACACTTTCGAAATCTCTGTGTAAACAATGAGTGACGTACACGCGCGAGAGATCACTGCCGCCGCTAGCCCAGACCGAAGCGCCCGCGCCCTCAGATCACTTGGACGTGGCTGTGGTTACAAGAGGTAAAAACGATATAAATACTGTTCGTTTTCTCACACAAACCGCTCGTTTCGTGTCTTAGGCCATCAATGTGTACTTACATTTACGAGTCATTAAATCATGTTTAATTTGGACTTCTCTGTGCATGCTCTTTGAGGTGGTGACCATAGACCTGCATTATATGACTGACAGACAAGAACGGTTTGACCTAAAAATATCAAAAATTTAAACTACTGCGGAAACAAAGACACCTACATCTTGGATGCCCTTGAGGTAAGCCAAAACATACCAAAAATTTATTTCAAAGTGAACTATCCCTTTAATTTAAAGGGAAAGCAAGTTTATTCTGATCCCATTGGCAGATATTTTGTCTTGGTTTCCAGCAAAAGCTTGCTTAATTTTTCATAAAACAAGACTTAAGTCTAGTAATTTTGCTTCTCCAGTGAATGCATCTTGATTTGGGAATGTTTAGATATTTGTACTGGAAAACAAGTCAACAATACTGAAGAAGAACATAATTATTTTTGTACAGAATCAAGCCGTTCAATGTGTCATTGATAATAACAGTATATCTGAATGACTCACGGTACATTAGAATAAAAAAAATAGTCTGTTCATCAAATTAGTACCAGTCCAATAACTCTTCCACACAATGTTTGAGTATGTAGATTTTCCTGCAAACACGTTTAAGAAGGTGTTTGTGTGGCTTCATCTAGTTTATTCTTCATTGTCTTTGTCATTATAGCAATTTAAGTGTTTTTATGTATGCACAAGGCCTTATTAAATTGCACATTTCAACACATATATCACATAGTAAAGTTACACACTCTAAGGTACCAAAGCTATATGTATGTTTACAAGTATATTTTTGTATAGATATTTTGTACATTGCTCTTTTACACAGTCTATGTATGATAAACAATAAAAGCTGTGATAAAGTCTTTAATAATATGTCTGTTGTTCTTTTAAGCCCCAGAACAACAATATAAGCGGTTGCTCTTTCACGGCTCAGGAGAGCTAATGGAGATATTAGTTACACACTAAAGTATCAACTTTGCCCTAGAAACAACAGACTTCAGCAGAAGTGTCCATTCACTCTTAATTTAGTGTTATTACCGTCTCTGAAAAAATAGTTTACCGTAACTCTTTACTCAACATCAGGGTTGTTCAAATTAAACTATTAGAAGTATTTTTGTTAATTGAAACGAAGTTGAAATGTTGCCTTTGCAGCTAACTGAAATAAGTTTCACTTAAATTACTACCTGGAAATAACTGTGGTCATGAAGGGATGGATATGGTCAGCAACAACACTCAGGTCGGCTGTGGCGTTTAATGATGCTCAATTGGTCCTAAGAGGCTCAAAGTGTGCCAAGAAAATATCTCCAAACCATTACACTACTAACAGCCTGAGCCGCTGATCCATGGCAGGATCCGTGCTTTAGTGTTGTTTACGCCAGATTCTGACCCGACCATCTGAATGCTGAAGCAGAAATCAAGACTCATCCGACCAGGCAACGCTTTTCCAATCTTCTATTGTCTAATGTTGTTGAGCCCGTGTGAATCGCAGCCTCAGTTTGCTGTTGGTCTTCTGCTGCTGTAGCTCTTCTGCTTCAAGCTTCAACATGGTGTGTGTTCAGAGATGCTCAGAGTGGTTTTTTGAGTCACTGTGGCCTTTATCAGCTGAACTAGTCTGGTCATTCTCCTCTTAAATTAACAAGTCATTTTCACATACAGAACTGAAGCTCACTGGATATTTTCTCTTTTTCTGGCCATTCTCTGTAAACCGAGATGATGATTGTGTGTGAAAATCCCAGTAGATCAGCAGTTTCTGAAACACTCAGACCAGCCCGTCTGGCACCAACAGTCATGTTCAAAGTCACTAAAATCAGCTTTCTTCCCCATTCTGATGCTCAGATTGAACTTCAGCAGATAATCTTGATCATGTCTACATGCCTAAGTGCATTGAGTTGCTGCAATGCAATTGGCTTATTAGATATTTGCGTTAAAGGGTTAGTTCACCCCAAAAATGAAAATTCTGTCAGTAATTACTCGCCCTCATGTTGTTCCAACCCCGTAAGACTTTCGTTCATCTTCGGAACACAAATTAAGATATTTTTGATTAAATCTGAGCGCTGGATCACTCCTCCATAGGCTTCTTAAGGGATCGAAACTGGCCGGCCCAAAAGTTATGAAAGACATCGTTAAAATAGTCAGAGTGACTACAGTGGCTCAATCTTAAGTTTATCAAGCGACGAGAATACTTTTTATGCGCAAAAAAACAAACAAAAATAACGACTTTATTCAACTATTCATTTCCTTCTCTGTTGGCCTCGAGTGAGTTCACGTAGTGTAACAGCGCGGCGCTTCTGTGTCGAAGGTCACACGCAGGCTCACTATTGGCCGACGCTGGTCATGTGTGATGCGTGTGACGTACAACCTAGAAGCTTTGCGTAGTTTCACTACGTGTATTAAAGACGCCTGATGATGTTTTTTAGATTAGCAGGTGTAGGTGTACACCATAGATATATACACTAGATGTCGCCTTGGCTACGGCAGTTCATTGGAACGAATGCGTCAATAGAGCCGCCATCTTGGAACAGGGGAGCCCGTCCTCTATAATGCATCAGCGTCAATGTAGGAAATAAAATCACCATAAATCGTCATGAATGCGATATTCTAGTTTTTATGGTTCGTTCCAATGGTTAGACATGTATTTATCATTGAGTCCAGAGAAAAAAACAAAACAAAACAAAACAAAACAAAACAAAACACATTCTTTCGTTCGTGTGAACATCCATACGCAGCACAAAAGTCCGAAAATCCATGAATTCGAAGTACAGGCGGAGATAGCAGCGTTACCAAGCTACTTCCTATGCCAAGACCCCTGTTCCAAGATGGCGGCGGTTTTGACGCATGGTTAGAACCCCAAGGCGACATCTAGTGTATATATCTATGGGTGTACACTATGTAAAACTAAGTAAAAAACAGGTGTACACTATGTAAAACAAATCAGGTAAAAACAAGAAAGCTTTAACATTAATAGTTCTCACACATTATAAATAAACAGACAAACAGACAATCATGAGAGCATATGATTTTAAAACTATTCTAAGTAGGCCTATTGTAAGTATTTTTTTTACACATTAAAAAAAAAGAATTTAACATTTTAAACAGCGTTTAATAAATGTATAGCTCAAACAGTAGAGCATGACGCTCGCAACGCCAAGACCATGGGTTCAATTCCCCGTGAAATGAACAGGTAACTGATAACAATATATGCCATCAAAGCAGAAAAATATTTGGATGAAAGCTCCTGCCGAATGCATAAGTGTAGTTTTTTGGTTCTCTGCAGCTCCCTTAATTAAGGAAATTAGTGGGTCAAAGTGACCCAGGAACATCATAATCATAACAGAAATATGGTACGCACATTCCATAACATATCAGAGTGCTGATGCATGTTCATGACACTAAATGAGACCAAAAAAGGTCAGAAAATATAAATCATAGGTTAACCATTATTTCCATATGTGGGTCAAACTGACTCGCCAAATAATAAAAAGGTTAAGTTCTGTGTGTCTGTCTCACCCAGTGAAAAGATCTCCCACAGCAGGATGCCGTAAGACCAGACGTCACTCTGAACCGTATAAACACACTCGAAAATACTCTCTGGAGCCATCCACTTCACTGGAAGACGGGCCTACACACACAGAGAGAGAGAGACACACACATTTGTATTTGATTTAAACTGAACTTGATTTGTAGGTCTATCACAGTGTTTGTGTTGTCTGTTCCCTCACGTTTCCTTTGACCACGTAGTTGGAGTCGTTCATGATGTCTCGTGCCAGTCCGAAATCACAGATCTTGGCCACTCGGCTGTTGGTGAGGAGAACGTTTCTGGCCGCCACATCTCGGTGAATGCACTGTGAAGATTTACAGTCAATCCATCAGATCAACTGATTAACTGTCAGGGGTTTATATATAATATTATATTAAATAATACAAAAAGTATTCTCGTCGCTTGATAAACTTAAGATTGAGCCACTGTAGTCACTCTGACTATTTTAACGATGTCTTTCATAACTTTTGGGCCGGCCAGTTTCGATCCCATAAGAAGCCTAAGGAGGAGTGATCCAGCTCTCAGATTTAATCAAAAATATCGGTAACGCTTTCGATTACAGCCCGGAAAGTACTGTGTAATTAAGAGGAATTTACAGTGTAACTTTCTGTAATTATAGTGTACCTATAAAGTACCTACATGTAAGTATAAGGGAACAATATGTAAAGTTTGGGGAATAAAGGGGTAACAACCAGGAGAATTAAACAAATATTTATACTGTAAGTATTATAGAACTAAGGGGTACTTATTGTTGATATTACTATTATCACTATATTACTATCTAATATTACTTACTATTATGATACAACAATCTTACATTTGGGAGCGATTTAGCAAGAACATACACTGCGTACCTTTTTGTAATAATTGTGTACCAAGGCAACACATACTGTAAAGGCTTTTTTAAAATGATAGGGTACATATCTATGCATTTATATAAAAAAAATATATATATACATTTTTTTATAGCAAAAGTGCAGATGTTTGGGCTAACATGTTTCAATGCAAGAAAAGCTAAGACTATTGCAATATTTTTTATATACTGGGAAATATATCTGGTTTCATGTGGTTACAGGGTAAGTGGTGCTTGTATAATAAATAAAGGTTTCCGAGTCAGTGATATAAGATTGTGTAAGCATTTTTATTGTACTTACCCTGTAACTATGGAACAAGAGGGTAACAAGCACTACTTTAATTTACAGCCCGCAATGTCACACTTACCCTGTAACTACATGAAACAAGAGGGTAACAAGCACCACTACATGAAACAAGAGTATCTTTCCCCAATATTTAAGCAAAAGTTTCAATAGTTTTCGTTTCAGTGCACTTTTGTTAAAAATATTACTTTATAAATGCATAGATATGTACCCTGCAATTTTTAAAAAGCCCATAAAGTATGTACTTGTTCACCATTATTTCAAAAAGGTATGTTCTTGCTAAATTGCTCCCAAATGTAAGACTGTTATATCATAAAAGTAGAATAAGTAGAATAAGTATTATAGAACTAAGGCTACCCCTTAGTTCTATAATACTTACAGTATAAATATTTTTATGTTACCCCTTTATTCTCCAAATTTAAAATATTCTTCCCTTATAGGCCTACTTATATTGTAAGTACGTTATAGGTACACTATAATTACCGAAGGTTACACTGTAAAATCGCTTTAATTACGCAGTAGCCTACTTTCCGGGCTGTAATCTAAAGCGTTACCAAAATATCTTAATTTGTGTTCAGAAGATGAACGAAAGTCTTACGGGGTTGGAACAACATGAGGGCGAGTAATTACTGACAGAATTTTCATTTTTGGGTGAACTATCCCTTTAACAAGCAGTTGAACAGATGTACACAAACTGGCCGGTGGGTGTATATTAGTGGGGGGGGGGGGGGGGGGGGGGTAGAGACGAGTGAGATTTGTTGACGGGGGGGTGGGGGGGCGGGCGGGGGGCGGTCTCGCTCGCGCAAGGTCTCTCGCTCGCTCTACGCGGTTTGGAGCACAATCTCTGTCTCGCATGCACGCTCGCTCTAGATAACGGGAGATTTTTAACGAATTTGCGGTATAACTAGTCGATCAAGAGTGGCTCAACAGGTAGATATATAGATAAACTCATCTTCCAGGCATTTGACCGCCCGGGTTGACACTTCAGCGTAAGAAATCGGGAGTGTGGCGTGTGAGCGTGTGAAACCAATCAAATGCGGGTGTCTCACGGCCAATGCGTGAGAGTTGGCAGCTATGATATTAATAATATATTATGTAATATAGAGTATACTAAAATAACTGCTGGACATTTCCCGAAATTAACAAAACCTGTCAAACTAATACTGTAATGTTTTAGGCAGATATCAGAGGGCAAATACTGGTTTGTCATCAGATTTCAGTAGCCTACATCACACTGAAGAGCTTTCAGTAGCCTACTAAGATATGAGTAACTGAGTGCACTAGAAAATCGTGTAGGCCTTTTTCCTTCTTCAAACCCTCGTAGTCCAAACAAAAGCAACATAAAAAAGCCATAAAGTGAACAAAATCAATTATCCACTCATCTCAGGCAAATACAGCTGCAGTCTTTCTTCATGTGATATTAAAAGAAGCTGTTGATGGCCTGTTTTTCACATGTAAACACTGATGTTCACCGCGCTGATCATGAGGCTGTCTGAACACAGGATGGTTTTGTTCAAGAGGTCACGGACAGATTTCAATAACTCCCGCAGTTCGCAGTGTTCAGGACCCGCATTCGTTTCAGTTGAGTAACGTTACCGCAGTGCTGACGCTGGAGGAGTGTGTGACCGTTCGAGGCCTGTTGAGCTTCAGATTGGAGATTATCAGGACACGCAGCAGAAGGTTTGGTGAAGATCTTCTCATCTGGGTCTTTAGAGCTTCACTGACACTCAGGTAAACGATCCTTTGTTTTTTGTTGCACTTCAAAAAATAAAATCTTAGTATTTTTGTATCTTGTTTTTGTCTTTTTCAGTAAAAATATCTATAGCACAATACGATGTTAAGTCGCGTTTTCCGATAAAATTGTCAAAATTAAGTGAGTTTATGCTTAAAAGATTACGTTTATTTTAAAACAAGAAAAATATCTGTCCATAGGGTAAGAAAAATAAACTTGCTTTCCTTTTTAAACTTTAAATTTATATTTCTTACCCACGTATTTTAAGCATGAACTTAATTCATTTTGATAAATCTAAAAACAAAATGAACATATCTGCCAGTGAGGTCCGTTTAAATTAAGTTTATTTTTTAACCCCATTGGCAGATATTTTTAGAATTGTTTGAAGCATAAACTCACTCAAATTTACCACATTTTTTTGAAAATAATACTTAAAATCTTAAGTTATTTTGCTTCTCAAATAAATGCATCTTGATTTAAAAATGTGTAGATATTTGTACTGGAAAACGAAAAATCTTTTTTTGCAGTGCATGATTTTGATTTTGCGTAATTGGTTTATTTAGATTTTGATGAATGATCAACATTGTTTTTGTACACACCAATAGACTTTATCTTCACAAAATGTTTATTTTTAATACTGTTTCTAAGGATTATCACTTCGGTCAGCTCATTTCCCTCTGTTGTCATATCCTGTGAGACAGAAATGAGAAGTCTGTGTTGAAGGACCAAAGTCCTTATTTCCTCTGAGACACTGAAGACTGATAAACTGCTGAACAGGAGTCGCTCTGAGATGTTTGCGGTCCTGTTCGTCTGTGGGATCCTGTTCGCTCGAGCTCAGGGTAAGAGTCTCAACATTTACAGTATGGTAATCCAGCAGGGAAGAAAAAAAATCAGTTATTTCTCTTACTTATCAGATGTTTCTCCTGTCAAAAGTCAGAGTAATCTCACATTTGTTTCAGAGGAGATCTGATCTCAAATATACAGAGATACCAAACTCTGTATTCAGAAGTCATAATATGAACTCATACATTCCTCATCAATTGATCTGATATGCTTTCTCCACTCATTTAATATCTCTTATACTCATGCTTTTGACTCGTGTTTGTTTCTTATAAGCAATTTTAGTAGAAACATCTGAGACAAATTTGATGAAATGAGACGGAACTGAGATAGATCTCCATTAAATCCTCAGGATTATGAAAAGGCAGCTCTTTTCCCAAAATGTTTGATGCCGTATGAAGAATCTTGGATTGTTTTTGTATTGATGTGAACCGGTTCTTGATCTGGTTCTTGTGTTTTTCACACAATTGTGGATGAAGTCGGTTTTGAGGTGGATTTGAAATGTTGTCTATGGATTGACTCTGTTTATGGTGTCATGTGACCAGCGCTGATGGAGTTTGGTTTACTGTAGCTTTTGAGAATTAGACTTACTCAGTATTTTTGTATTTTTCCCCCAGTACAAATATTCAAAAACATTCTTAAATCAAGATCAATTTACTTGGGATGCAAAAAAAAATTTATTTAATTTTTTTATAAATGTATCAAAATTAAATGAGGTTTATGATTAATTAAGAACAAATATCTAAAAGAATCAGGGGAAAAAAGTGTTTTCCCTTTGAATTGACATTTATTTTTCTTTGTATTTGTTCTCGTTTTAAGCATAAACTCTTAAAAATAATGGCTCTTTATTGGCATTGATGGTTCCATGAAGAACGTTTAACCTCCATGGAATCTTACTATTCAACAAAAGATTCTTCAGATTACTAAAATATATTTTTTAGAACATTTCACCAAAAGATTCTTTGGTGAACCAAAGCACCTTATATCTGAAGTCATTTTGCATCTCAAGTAAATGTTTCTTGATTCAAACTGTTTTGATATTTGCGCTAGAAAACAAGACAAAAAAAACAGTGAACTCCAAAACAACTGGTTTTCAAGAAGATGCAGATGGTAAATTACAAGTTGTTAATTGATGTTAAATTCTCATTGGAATGAGTTTGAATAAAACACACAAAACACAAATATAAGGCTTGTGCCATTAAATGATGGAAAGAGACCGTTTTTCAGTTTTATTGTTAGACCTGAAGATCTTTAACACTCCAGTTCATGTGTCAATGAGGAAAGCAGAAGTGAGAGAAGGATCGGGATGTTTCAGGCCGATTGCGCGATCACTGACTCTTCATCATGTTCTCTCACTGAACACACACACACACACACACTGCTTTCATTTCTCTTCTCATTACTTCACCCCTCATATCAAAAAGGCCTTGTGCTAAGTTCAAATCAAGTCACCTTTATTTCTTTCTGTAGTGCTTTAAACAATACAGATTGTTTCAGCAGCTTCACAGAAATAAACAGTGAATTATTGTGAGTCGTGAAACATCCATTGTTGCAATATGATGAGAGAAGCTCTCGGTTGTTTATTTCTATAGATCGAAATATATAAATCTTATTTTCTCTTCTAAGGGTTTTTGGAGTAACATCTGAAACAAACTTGAAACTCTATAGAGCCATATTTGATACACAATTTTCTAAGGCCTCTAAATGATCAACATGATCAAAACTTTGCTGAAAAACCTGTTGCACACGATCTACTACACGCCTTCTGTCGTCTGAGTGATAGTTTAAACTCATTATTGGAGATATAGAGTGACGACTGATATTTATATGATTGTATGTAGGTAGTTGGTTATTCTGTTATAAAGATCTCATTGATTTACATTACAAGCTATCAGAATTTCATCTTAATTTTGCACTAAATTGTCTTTTCAATAGTCTTTTTCTCCTCAAGTATGAGCTTCGTGTTCTCACTATCATACTATATGAGCCATAAAAGCTTGATGTATCAAAGAGGTTTATTAAACTGTTCCATTTTGAATATTATTTGTCTTCTGCATTTTGATTGGCAGGTTTGTCTGAACCGCGGATCAGACTGAACTCTGGCGCTCTGGCCGGTTCTGATGTGATTCTCAGCTCCGGTTCTCTTCTTCATTTGATCTGTGAGGGCGACGGCCCGGTGACGTGGCATCCCCGACTGGCCAAATTCAAACGTTACATCTCCAAAGATGTCGGAAACATCCGGAGTTTCCGTGTGGATAAAGCCACGCGGGATATTACAGGAACATACAAGTGCAATTATACGAACGGAAATTACACAAACGTGTCGTCTTCTGTTCATGTGTTTGTCAGGGGTGAGTGAACAATCTCTTTCCTTTCTAGTTCTCAACTTAACACTTTATAAATGGACACTGAAGAAAAAAAAAAGAAAAAAAAAAAAAATATATATAAGGGATAGTTGACCATATATAGAACAACTTGAGGGTGAGTAAATTCTGAAAGAATTGTCATTTTTGGGTGAACTATCCCTTTAAATCAAGATACATTTACTTGAGAAGCAAAATTACTTATTTAATTAAGGCTTTGTAAAAATTTTATCAAAATTAAGTGAGTTTATGCTTGAAACAAGAAACAAATTCTGCCAATGGTATCATAAAAGTAAACCTAAATTCAAAGGGAAAACGAGATTATTGGCAGATTTTTAATGGAAAACAAGACAAAAAAAAATGTTTGCAGTGCAGAAGCACGTCATGAGAGTAGTTGTGGTGTAGTGGTTAAAGATCTGGTCACTGGTGAAGTTGAATGTTCAATAACATGTGAAACCGCATCTGTGTTGTTACAGATCCCCAAGTTCTGTTCGTGTCACCGGGTTTCACTCAGACACTGGTGCGGAAAGAAGGTGAAGATCTGTTGCTCCCGTGTCTTCTGACCGACCCCGACGCCACGGACTTCACGTTCCGCATGGATAACGGCTCAGCGATACCTTACGGCATGAACGTGACCTTTGACCCCAGGAAAGGTGTCCTGATTCGCAACGTTCAGCCTGGATTCACCGCCGACTACATTTGCAGCGCTAAAATTGGAGGGGTTGAGAAAGTGTCAAAGATATTCAAAATAAACATCAGGCAAAGTGAGTTTTATTTAATATTATATTTTAAGTGTTATTGTTGTTTTTCAGTCCAATTATCAAGATACATTGATTTGAAAAGCAAAATGATGTGGCAAATTAACTCTATGAAATATTAATGATCAATAATAACTGGTTATAATTGATTATGAAAATTTGGATCAGTTAATATAATTAACTTAATGTAGTAAAATTAATATTACAATCAACCCACCTGTTTGTCCCATTAATTGTTTATTAAATCTAAGAAATATTCATTTCCGGGGAAGGGAAATGTCTTTCTTACTGTACAGTACTAAGAGCCTGTAGTCAAAATCTAAATCGTAAAGTAAACTTAGTTGAAAGCAGAGAATCAGAACCAAATACGTATTTTGCACAAGTTTTATTAACTAATCTACACATATGCATACATGGGTAAAAGGGTGAGTGGAAGAATGGAATCGGAAGCAGGAAATGGAACTATGGGAAAGATCCATTTAACAATGAAAAGAACCATCAGCTTATCATTTTCAGAGCTCCTCATTAAATTGATACTTGCATGGCATTTGCAGTGGAAACAATTCTTGAAGTTCTTGGGAAAGGATGTTGATGGCTCCGAGAGTGTCAAACATTGAAGTTGCAATCGTTTTCTTCTCCGTTGGATGAAGAAGATATGATGAACTTGCCTGGTTAGTTCGACTCTGTTCTGGTTGAAAGCTCTCTCTCTCCATGAGAACATGGCTGGGCACATGCAGCTTGTGACCTGCCGGCCCTGGGCCGGAGAGGCCACGAAGGCAACCAAGAAGCGAGGAAGTCGGAAGAGTTGATGGTTGCACATTCAGTAATGGCAAAGTTGCAGTTTTCCTCTGAGTTGGATTGAAGAAACTACAGTCTGAGTGAAAGCATAGCAAGTGAAAGCATAGCAGACTGTGGTCCCCACAGACATCAACCAGCAGTCGAGAAGCAGAAAACAAGAGAGGGAAGGGCTTGTGGAGGTGCAATTTAAAGCCTGAGAAAGGTCCCACCTCTCAGGATTGGCTCGACCAATAAGAAAGGTGGAGTTTCAAAGGGGGAGAATTTGATTCATGGATCTTTTGTTTTAAGCGTGCTCATTTGCATGTTCAGCTGGATTGGTTGCTGATGAAGAAACTATGAAAGATTATTGTAATACTAATATGTTGTTGTTATCGACATATCATGTACACAGTCATTTCGATCTTCAAAGTACCAATTTATAGAGACCAAACATGGTGTAGGTGAGGCTACAATGACCGTTGGATGTACACTCACCTAAAGGATTATTAGGAACACCTGTTCAATTTCTCATTAACCTAATCAACCAATCACATGGCAGTTGCTTCAATGCATTTAGGGGTGTGGTCCTGGTCAAGACAATCTCCTGAACTCCAAACTGAATGTCAGAAAGGGAAAAAAAAGGTGATTTAAGCAATTTTTAGCGTGGCATGGTTTTTGGTGCCAGACGGGCCGGTCTGAGTATTTCACAATCTGCTCAGTGACTGGGATTTTCACGCACAACCATTTCTAGGGTTTACAAAGAATGGTGTGAAAAGGGAAAAACATCCAGTATGCGGCAGTCCTGTGGGAGAAAATGCCTTGTTGATGCTAGAGGTCAGAGGAGAATGGGCCGACTGATTCAAGCTGATAGAAGAGCAACTTTGACTGAAATAACCACTCGTTACAACCGAGGTGTGCAGCAAAGCATTTGTGAAGCCACAACACGCAAAACCTTGAGGCGGATGGGCTACAACAGCAGAAGACCCCACCGGGTACCACTCATCTCCACTACAAATACAGAATGAGAACATGGATCCATCATGCCTTGTTACCACTGTGCAGGCTGGTGGTGGTGGTGTAATGGTGTGGGGAATGTTTTCTTGGCACACTTTAGGCCCCTTAGTGCCAATTGGGCATCGTTTAAATGCCACGGCCTACCTGAGCATTGTTTCTGACCATGACCATCCCTTTATGGCCACCATGTACCCATCCTCTGATGGCTACTTCCAGCAGGATAATGCACCATGTCACAAAGCTCGAATCATTTCAAATTGGTTTCTTGAACATGACAATGAGTTCACTGCACTAAAATGGCCCCCACAGTCACCAGATCTCAAGCCAATAGAGCATCTGTGGGATGTGGTGGAACGGGAGCTTCGTGCCCTGGATGTGCATCCCACAAATCTCCATCAACTGCAAGATGCTATCCTATCAATATGGGCCAACATTTCTAAAGAATGCTTTCAGCACCTTGTTGAATCAATACCACGTAGAATTAAGGCAGTTCTGAAGGCGAAAGGGGGTCAAACACAGTATTAGTATGGTGTTCCTAATAATCCTTTAGGTGAGTGTATAATAAAATACATACCGTAGTATCAAATACATAATATACATAAAATACAAGACAGTAAATCATTCACAAAAATGTTCTGGGATGCATGTTCATATATAGATCCGTTCATCGATAAATGAAGGCAGGGAAGTCTGTTTGAATGTCTGTAGGTTTTAATGGCAGGGGCCCTGACCACATTATTAACAGCAATAAAACCAACTTATCTGATCGTAGTCATGGTTACTAAGACCTTCTTGCCCTCACTGGGGGATAGACCCACAGATCCCAGAGTGAGTTTTAAAGATTGTTTGGTACATATACCAAATAATTGTCTGATTTGTCTCAGTCGTTACAATGACTTCAAAAATATTACATCTTGCTAGGTCCATATTTTAAGAATAAGAATAAATTGATACATTTTGGAGTTTTGTGATTTCGCAAACTGTTCCAAAGATGAAAAGTTTGTAAAAATCACAAAATTCCAAAATGTTTCAATTTATTCTTAATGCTGAATGAATAATGTAAAACAGGGTTTCCCAACCTGGAGTTGACAAAAAGCTAATAATTAATTAAATCATAAAAATGTAAATAAATAAATTAACTAAAAATGTATAATTTGAAAAAAAAATTTATAGATACATATTATACATGTAGTCTGCTATAATGTTAAAAATCTCTCAGTGATTTACATTAAAAGCTATCAAAATTTCATCTTTATCTGCTCCAAATTGCTAAAGCGTATGGGAATCCCTGATGTGCAACATTCAGTACATCAAAATTGTAACAAAATATCAAAGTTAATAAAAGCTACTCATTTACTATCTCTACTGTATTTTTTAAACAGGGTTACATTTTCCACCGTACGTGTTCCTGAGGAGAAACGAGTATGTGAAACTGGTGGGAGAGAGCTTTCAGATCAGTTGCACCACAAATAACCCAGACTTTTACTACAACGTCACATGGACACACTCCACTAGAAAGGTACAAACTTTGACCTCTGGACTCATGCCTGATTCTGGGTTAAATATTTTCAATAATATATATATATATATACATCAGGCCTCTTTCAATAGACTAAAAATAGTCAATAGTCAATTCTAACACATTTTTGGGAAACGATTGTATTATTCAAAAACCACAGTAAAGACATTTATAATGTTGCAAAATATTTCCATATCAAATAAATGCTGTTCTTTTGAACTTTCTATTCATCAAAGAATCCTGAAAAATCTTGCTGTATCTTGGTTTCCACAACACAATTAAGCATCACAACTGTCTTTAACATTGATAATAATAAGAAATGTTATGATCACAGGAATATTAATTTATTAATAGTAATTTTGATCAAATAAATGAAGCCTTGGTGAGCAGAAGAGACTTCTTCAAGCATGTAAAGCCAGTAATGTTGTTCTTCTCATTCAGCTGCCTCGAGCAGAAGAGAAATCAAAGATGCAGGGGGATCGTTTGGCCATCGAGAGCATCCTCAGCATACCGGCTGTTCAGCTGTCTGATTCTGGCAACATCACGTGTACGGGCCAGAACGAGGCCGGAGCCAACAGCTCCACCACACAACTGCTGGTCGTGGGTGAGAATCATGCTTGTTCAGTCATCGTTTTCAGTCATGTGACTGACACAGAGACCTGGAGGGCACAACATCCATAGAACTGAAGCACGGGCCGGTTCATTTTCATTTTGAATATTTAGATCACCTCTCAAAAGAAAAAAACGAAAATATGTGAACAGTATTGGGCACTTCATCAGATCCATATAAAGCACCAGCTGCAGTATTTCAACTGTTCTGCATTCTTAAAGGCTTAACTTGAAAAACACTTGAAGTGCCTTAATGTAAAGTGATATTAAACGATCAAATTCAGTATACAGCTTATTGATGTTGCACACTATATACAGGCTTGCAGATGAGCCCAGAATGTGAACGACACGCTAAAGGGTTAAGCGTTTTCTTTATAATGCTTTTCTATGGAAAGGCACTTAACGAGAAACTGCGTGATGAGATCACTGACTTTGTGATAGTACAAACCTAATGAAAATAATAGGCGGGCACTGGAGGAAAGCCTTGTTTTTCCCTGCAGGTGGTTGTTTCTATAAGGGTGTAACTGGTGTTTTTAAAACTATTAAAGCACTTTTTGATTTGTGACAGACGAGCCGTACATTCGTCTCTCCCCGAAGCTCTCTTCTAAACTCACTCACCGCGGTCTGTCCATCGAGGTCAGCGAAGGGGACGATGTGGATCTTTCAGTTCTGATCGAAGCGTATCCTCCTCTGACCTCACACCAGTGGGAGACTCCAACATCCCACAATGCCTCGCTCCCAGAGAACAGGTTTTACAACTACAACGACAGGTCAGTAGAAAGCACACATTTAGTGAATAAATGATCTGAATGAATTCTGACTATGTTGTTTCCCACCAGTCACTATTGGGACCGAGTGGATTTATAAATGACAATATATTTATAAAGAATATATTTATAATAGATTTATAAATGACAATATATAGCCAAATGCAATTATCAACCATTGCAAGCAAGATGAATTTTCACACATGCCAGATTCATAGGCCGACTGTGATGTGTGTGTGTGTGTGTGTTTTGTTGGGATATATTGAGCTCAGGGTTTGTGAATGTGTAGGTACGAGGCGCTGCTGTTCCTCAGGAGACTGAACTTCCAGGAGATCGGCAGCTACACACTTCGTGTGAACAGCAGCATGAAAAATGCCTCCATTACTTTTGATATCAAAATGTACAGTAAGTACAGTTAGTCTGTTTACGTCTGCACATCATCCAAATGTGTGTGTTTGTATATATACAGTATATAGTAGAAGTGTGTGTGTATAAAAAAAAAAATCCCCCATTCAGTACCAAATGTCCATGCAAATGCTTGTGGCAGGAGTTAATATACACTACCGGTCAAACATTTGGAATAATTATGATTTTTTTATAAAAAATTTAGCAGAAGGATTTCTGAAGGATCACTTAAGACTGGAGTAATGATGCTGAAAATTCAGCAAAGAATAAATTACATTTTTAAAATATATTGTATTATTAAATTGTAATAATATTTCACGATATTCACATTTTTACTGTATTTTTCATCAAATTTGGTAAGGAATAAATGTGGCAGCTTTGGTGAGCATCAAGAGACTTCTTTCAAAAACATTAGAAGTAAAAGTATTTCATATAACTTTGCACAGGAAAGGACTGTATTTTCAGTGCTGGCCATTTACTTCAATCACAAGCGCAACACAAAAAAACCTGAGGAATGAAATCATTTTCTGTGTAATCAACGCTACTGATAGAACTGAAGTTTATTGAACCCAGAAGAAATCAAGTCAGAGCAGCAACAAAACTCGCGTCTGAGATATTCAAGCTCATTTTGTTTGACAGAGAAACCTGTTGCGACGGTGAGATGGGAGAATGTCACAACTCTGACATGCAGATCTTATGGATATCCAGCTCCCAGCATCCTCTGGTACCAGTGCGCAGGAAGCAGAACCACGTGCGTGTTTGCCTCTTTACTACACGTCGGAAAATACTGACACTGTTATGAGCTCAGAGTGGACGTGATATTAAAATCAAGCCATTTTGCCTACTAAATATATACATTTGGGATTTCATTGTGAATGATTCATTAGTTATCTTCAACAAGAAACTCATAAATACATCCAATTACAGAAGTGAAACTTGCTACTAAATTTTGCTGCCTAAATGTAAGATTTTTTTTTTTTTTTGAGTTGCATGTATTGGAGGTTGTTGAGGAGATTCCCCTCTTCTATGTAAAGTGAGAAGAGTGCCAAGAAAAGCACTATATAAATGTAACAAATTATTAATTATTATTATTTAATCTATTTGGAGTATACAGTTTTAACATAAACTAATAAACTTAATGTGATGCATATTTGTCAGTCATATATAAATAAAACGGGTTTCATATATAAATGAAACACAACATTCATCATTGATAAATGCTCATCATTTTTCATCTCATATACAGTAGTCAACATTTGAAGTGGATCAAAAAAAGTTCATCAAAGCTGTCCTAAGACAAGAATGGGTGTTGTTCAAAATTCATGTATAACTTTGAAGAAAGGTTTTGATCAAATGTTGACTACTGTATTTTAACTAATTGAAAATTGACTGACAAATATGCATCACATTACATATATTAAATCAGTTTTTATTAAACAATAATTGATTCAGATTAAATATTCGAAATAGCCTGCAGCAATTAACATGTTGCCAGAGCCTCTAGTAAATGACATGTTATTTTGTTTAGTTGTCTGTTAAAACGGTGTAATGGATGGACATGTTAGATGCACTTTAAATGGAGAGGTTCTAGTGCCAGTCCTGTGATGATGATGATGATGATGATGGCAGTGTTTGTGTTGAACAGTTGTCCAGAGAACACCACAGACCTTCAGCCGATCCAGACTCAGACGGTGGAGGTCCAGAAGGAGCCGTACGGGTCGGTGGGAGTGGAGAGTGTCCTGACCGTGGGCCCGAACCGCAGGATGACCGTGGTGTGTGTGGCCTTTAATCTGGCCGGTCAGGGCAGTGACGTCTTCTCCATGGACGGCTCTGGTAAGTGTGTTTCTGGAAGGTTCCGGTAGAAACGCCCCAGATTCTCCTGGTTTAGTGGTGATGTGTTTGTTCTGGTCTCAGATCAGCTGTTCACCAGTGCGATGTACGGATGTGGAGTCTCCATGCTGGTCCTGGCGCTGCTGCTCGCCCTCATGTTCTACAAGTACAGACAGGTGAGTTTCGGGATCAGTGAGATCTCTGCTGTCCTGCTGATGGACGTCATCAGAGGATCATGAAGGAGAAAACTCAGCTCCTCAATTCAGTAGAAAACTATAGTTCTCCTACTTGTTTTCATTGTTAGATCTTTCTTTCACTCTTTGCTTTTTTGCTCTTTTTTTACTCTTTCTTTATCTTTCTGTATTTCGCTGTCTCTCTTTCGCTCTTTTGCAAATATATTCTTTCTTTCGCTCTTTCTGTGCTTTTTGCGCTTTCTTTCTGTCTTTCACTTTCGCTTTTTCTTTTCTTTTTTGCTCTATCTTTCTTTTTCTTTCTTTCACTCTAGCTATCTTGTCTTTCACTCTTTCTTTCGCTTTTTCACAAATACAAACTTTCTTTCTTTTGCTCTTTCTGTGCTTTTTTGCTATTTTGTCTCTCTGTCTTTCTTTCGCTCTTTTTTTCTTTATTTCTTTTGCTCTTTCTTTGCTGTTTTGCTTTTTATTTCTTTCGCTCTTTCTTTCGCAAAAATATTCTTTCACTCTTTCTGTGCTTTTTTGCCTTTTTTCTGTTTTTCGTTTTGTCTCTCGCTCTTTTTATTCATTCCTTTCTTTCTTCTTGCTTCCTTTCTTTTTTTTCGTTCTTTTTTGGTTGGTCTATTTGTTTGGTCTATTTCACAAAAATATAATTTTTCGAAAAATATTCTGTCTTGCTTTCTTTCTTTGGCAAACATATCATTCTTTATATGTCTAATTTAATTCTTTATTACCGTATATCTAATTTAAACCAAGTATTCTGAAGATATATGATAGATTTTTAAGGAATAGACAATTTATTATTGAAATTGCTTGTAAATTTCACAATTAATTACAAGGAAACAGCAAGTAACATTGAATTAAATTTGAAATTTTGAAGTTGAAAGAATATAATAGTATTTTCTCTTGTAAAACATACTCCAATAATCTTTGTTTTATTTTCAAGTGTACAGAGCTTGGGTGTGTTTAATATTCTCTTTTGAGTGGTGTGCTTTGTTTAAAACTGTTCCTATTGACTCTATTCATTTATATCCCTGCTCTCATAAACAATTTATCATGTTCTTTTGAAGATTTTAAACCTGTTGATTTCACACACTTTGACTTGCCCGTCAGTATCATGTTTATGTGTATAAAGCCCTTGACTCTAGTTTATGCCTCTCTTGTCTGTTGGTAGAAACCCAGATTTGAGATCCGCTGGAAAATCATTGAAGCCACAAATGGAAACAACTACACCTTCATAGACCCGACACAACTTCCATACAATGAGAAATGGGAGTTTCCTCGAGACAAATTAAAACTAGGTCTGTACTGGGTCACCGACCTCCAACACGCTCATATCATGAAGTTTCATGTGACACCATTAACCTCAGCTATCTTTTCTAGGTCATAAAAGTCAAATAATCTGACATTTTTCAGACACAGTTTTCTCTCTGACGCCATTTTATTTCCTTTATTTATTTATTTATGTATTTATTATCAGTTTGTTAACATTAGTTAACATGAATAAAGAATGAACAACACTTCTACAGCATTTATTAATCTTAGTTAACGATTTTAATTTACTAAAACATTGTTAGTTCATGTGAGTTGATGCATTAAGAAATGAGAGCGTGAAGTGTTTGTTGATGTATTGAGCTGTAAGTGGTGTGTGTGTGTGTGTGTGTGTGTGTAGGGAAGACTCTGGGCGCAGGAGCGTTTGGGAAGGTGGTGGAGGCCACGGCGTACGGCCTGGGGAAGGATGACAACGTCACGCGTGTTGCTGTGAAAATGCTGAAAGGTCAGAAAACATTACAATTACAAAGAGCACTACATTGTTACTATGTTTTTAGTCATTTAGTACAGTGCTAATACTATGGTATGACTATTACTTGTACTTTATACCTTGGAACACCATTTCTTTTCTGAAGCTGCACGATTCACCTTTTTTTGCTTCAAATACAGATCACGATTCTGAACAGACAACTAAACGAAACAATGTCTCATGCCTCATGTCATTTACTAGAGGCTCTGACAGCATGCTAATTGCTGCAGGCTATTTCAACTGTTTAATTAATCTGAAGGAATTATAAAAAATAAAAATAAAAACTGATTGATTCAATCGATTGATTCAAAAATGATGAATTTTGCAACATTCCCAGTTATTTTTCTTCACAGAAATGAACAGAGAAAATAACTGGGAATGTTGCACTATTCATCTCAAGTCAGTTCAATGTTCATTCAGTTCAGTTCAATAACAGTGTTAATATTGCTCCTTAATTATGTAACAAATTATGATTCACCTCTAAAGCAGCTCTACAGAAGACAATAGTCTCGTTGTTCAGCTCAATATTGATTCAGTTCAGTTCAATAAAGGTGTTAATGTTGCAAAGTTCCTTAATTATGAAACAAATTTGATGCAGCTCTACAGAATTATTCCCATCAGCGCCATCTTTGATTTTTAACGGGAATGAAAGTGATGCTGTGAGAGATAGACATATCTCTTCACTGGGTTTGTACTGTTATTTAATGTGTTTTTGGATTGTTCTGTTGCAAAAGAAGAAAACAAGCAATTTCAGTAGACCAAAAAACTTTCCGCTTTATACAGTGGATACCATTGAAAACACAGTCTATCGTTTGAATCCTCGCTTTCATAACCTGAAAAAGGTCTATTCAGTTCAGTAAATACCATTACCATGCATATAATTGGCAACAGCCACTGAAAACCCCATTTTGGTCTAACATTACTTTTCAAATGAACTTCTTGTAATCATGTTTCACTGACAAAACTATTTTACAAAGCCAGTAAGCGTATTGAACTGTGTTGTGTTGCATGCTGGGAGCAGCCAGCGCTCATCGAGACGAGCGGGAGGCCCTGATGTCAGAGCTGAAGATCCTCAGTCATCTGGGACAGCACAAGTACATCGTGAACCTGCTGGGCGCCTGCACACACGGCGGTAAGACCTCTGACAAATAAACCTGCTTCGGATGTCCCATGAAGAACCTTCACATCTATGGAACCTTGGCATTGCACTGAATCTTCTATATAGTGGAAAAAGGTTCTTTAGATTATTGTGATGTTCTTGACACTAAGAGAAAAGGCTTCTTTTAAGAACTGATCACTAAGGGTGTGTTCACACTTTAGTCTTGGTCCACTTAGCGTTCACATTTAAGATACAGAACCTAAAGGCATATAGATGTTCACAACCTGATTGGTCGGCTTTTATTAGGTATGTTTCGCAACGGAACTTACCGAACATTCAAAACAATGCTGATGTGTTCTGGGCTAAGTGCGCTCGCTGTATGTGTGTAGCCTGCATATGATGGTATTTTGACCGTCTGAACTCGTGAAGAAGAGAGAAAATGTGTAAAGGAGTCAAAACAGCGGCAGGAATCCCTCCGTCACACACAAACGAAGATCTTTCACGAGGAGACGCGGTTCTGACACCTAAACTGAACTGATTATGATGAGGAAAAACAGGTATGCTTGAGCATTCTGTCCTTTTTAGAGTTGCGTCTTGTGACATCATGTCCTGTTTTTGGTCGTTTACATGTCTTTGGTCCGTGTTGAGGTCATATTTCATCCGAACCGCACCAGAGTTCGTTTGGAAGCGGATCGAGACTCATCTTTTTAGCTGTGTCAGTCCACTTGTTTGGTGGCACCAGGGTTCACATGGTTCACACTTATTCAAATGAACCGCACTAACAGAGAAAAATCAAACCAGGGTTCGTTTTAATCAAAACAGACATGCCACGTGTGAACACACCCTAAAAGGTTGTTTGGGGAATCAAAAATGGTCTTCTATGGCATCATAGAACCTTTATTTTGAGAGTGGCTGGGAAAAAAATGGTTTTAAATAGTTTTTTAGAGCTCTAATTGGCTTGACCAAGATATTTAAAGCAGGCCTACCAGCCTACCATCCCTAGATAATCAACTACCAGCTCCAAACCATGTAAAGCCATCGAAACTGGTCATGGGTTTGATTTTTGGTTCATTTGCGGTCCATTTGCAGGTCCTGTGCTGGTGATCACGGAGTACTGCTGTCATGGGGATCTTCTGAACTTCCTGCGTAGCAAAGCCGAGAACTTCCTGAACTTCGTCATGACGATTCCGAACTTTCCAGAGCCAACGATGGATTATAAGAATGTGAACACTGAACGAATGTTCATCAGAAGGTCCGTTTAATAAACATACACAAATATATCAATAAAATATCTAAGTAGCTCAAATATATAAATAGATAATAAATGTATATAAATATTCCCATTACTTGCAATAAAATAAATGTAAACTGGATATAGAATAGAAATAAAAATACTTTAAAAGTAAGAATGAACAATATTTCTACAGCATTTATTAATTTTGAACGTTAATTTCAACATTTACTAATACATTAAAGCAAAAGTTGTATTTGTTGACATTAGTTAATGCACTGTGTGAAGTAACATGAACAAACAATGAACTGCTGGATTTTTATTTTCAAAGATTGATAAATGTATATTTCTCATAGTTAGTTAATGTTAGTTTATGCATTAACTACTGTTAACAAATGCAACCTTATTGTAAAGTGTTACCGAATTATTTTATTTTAGCTAGTTGCCAATGCAACATTTCATTTAGTTTAACTTGATGTACTACAATAATTAAACTGGAATAAAGATTAATAAAAACTAGGACATATTTAAGAAAAATGACAAACACAACAAAATTACTAAAAACTTTAGCTAAAATTAGGATGTAAAATACACAAAAAAATGGTAAATGGACTGCATTTATATAGCGCTTTCACAGACCCAATGGCCACCAAAGCGCTTTAAATTTGCCTCACATTCACCCATTCAAAAAATGTTAAAACAAAAACATAATAACATCTCAATGATACTAAAATAACAGTGTTTGTAGTAGCTGTTTTGTTCATTATTTGATCATGTTGATTATATGACAGTGACAGTGGGATTTCCAGCACATGCTCTGATAACTATCTGGACATGAAACCGGTCACATCCAGACCCACAAACTCTGTTCTGGGTGAGTCCACAAACCACTCTCACATCAATTCAAAATTCAATTCAAAATGTATTTGTATAGCAGATTTATTTGTACATCACAGAGAGCTACAAATCTTTAATGAATATCTTATGTTTTGTATGATGCCATATTTCTTTAACCCAATCATTTACTGTAGTTTTTTTTCTTTGTATTTTGTATTTTGTTTCTTCATTTTTGTATTTTCACTTTCTTATTTTTGTGTTGTAATTTATATATATATATTATATTTCCTTTTTGTCATAAATATTCTATATTTTGTATGTATGTATATTTTGTACATACATGTAGAATTATATATCGTGTTTCACAAATGTGTCATGTTACACAAGGGAAATGAGTTGAGAACATAATTTTCATTTTGACTTTAACTCCCATGATAAAAACTGTTGAAATGCATCCGCTTCCTCTTGCGCTCCAGGTTCTTCTTTTGAGATTCAGGCTGAAGATTCGTGGCCAGTCGACATGGACGACTTACTCAGATTCTCCTATCAGGTGGCGCAGGGACTCGACTTCCTCACGGCTAAGAATGTAAATCCCTAAAATAAAAATAGAAAACTAGATCTGTTCAAAGATCTGGAGGAAGTTACGTTCATAAACAATAGATGCAAAAACCCCTGACATTTAATCAGTTGATCTGATGGATTGACTGTAAATCTTCACAGTGCATTCACCGAGATGTGGCGGCCAGAAACGTTCTCCTCACCAACAGCCGAGTGGCCAAGATCTGTGATTTCGGACTGGCACGAGACATCATGAACGACTCCAACTACGTGGTCAAAGGAAACGTGAGGGAACAGACAACACAAACACTGTGATAGACCTACAAATCAAGTTCAGTTTAAATCAAATACAAATGTGTGTGTCTCTCTCTCTCTCTGTGTGTGTGTGTGTGTAGGCCCGTCTTCCAGTGAAGTGGATGGCTCCAGAGAGTATTTTCGAGTGTGTTTATACGGTTCAGAGTGACGTCTGGTCTTACGGCATCCTGCTGTGGGAGATCTTTTCACTGGGTGAGACAGACACACAGAACTTAACCTTTTTATTATTTGGCGAGTCAGTTTGACCCACATATGGAAATAATGGTTAACCTATGATTTATTTCTTGATATTTTCTGACCTTTTTTGGTCTCATTTAGTGTCATGAACATGCATCAACACTCTGATATGTTATGGGATGTGCGTACCATATTTCTGTTATGATTATGATGTTCCTGGGTCACTTTGACCCACTAATTTCCTTAATTAAGGGAGCTGCAGAGAACCAAAAAACTACACTTATGCATTCGGCAGGAGCTTTCATCCAGATCATTTTCTGCTTTGATGGCATATATTGTTATTAGTTCTGTTCATTTCACTGGGAATTGAACCCATGGTCTTGGCGTTGCGAGCGTCATGCGCTACTGTTTGAGCTATACACTTATTAAACGCTGTTTATAATGTTAAATTCTTTTTTTTATGTGTAAAAAAAATACTTACAATACTTAGAATAGTTTTAAAATCATATGCTCTCATGATTGTCTGTTTATTTATAATGTGTGAGAACTATTAATGTTAAAGCTTTCTTGTTTTTACCTGATTTGTTTTACATAGTGTACACCTGTTTTTTACTTAGTTTTACATAGTGTACACCCATAGAAATACACACTAGATGTCGCCTTGGGGTTCTAACCATGCGTCAAAACCGCCGCCATCTTGGAACAGGGGTCTTGGCATAGGAAGTAGCTTGGTAACCCTGCTATCTCCGCCTGTACTTCGAATTCATGGTATTTCCGTTTTTAATTGTTTTTCTCTCTCTCTGGACTCAATGATAAATACATGTCTAACCATTGGAACGAACCATAAAAACTAGAAAATCGCATTCATGACGATTTATGGTGATTTTATTTCCTACATTGACGCTGATGCATTATAGAGGACGGGCTCCCCTGTTCCAAGATGGCGGCTCTATTGACGCATTCGTTCCAATGAACGGCCGTAGCCAAGGCGACATCTAGTGTATATATCTATGGTGTACACCTACACCTGCTAATCTAAAAAACATCATCAGGCGTCTTTAATACATATTAGATGAATATTAAAATAACTTCCAGTCCTGTAGATGTCCAGTCTCATTGCACGCACAGGTCTGGTTTGAGATTTTGACTTGTCTGTGTGTTTCTGCAGGGAAGAGCCCATATCCCAACGTCCTGGTAGACTCCAAGTTCTATAAAATGATCAAATGTGGCTATCAGATGTCCAGACCTGACTTTGCACCTCCAGAGATGTGAGTGAGATGTTCATTATCAGACACAAATATTCATTCTTTATTATGACTATTTCCCACAATTTACAATAATAATAAATCATCAAACCTATGAAATTATACAAATGGAAGTTAGGGAATGACGTAGTGACTTCAACCATCTACGTGAGATCTACATCGTACGTTTAAACTCTTTTAAAGAAGGAATATGTGCAGAAGCCAACTTCTGCCACAAAGAAAAAAAAAAGCATGCTTCAGTAAATCTTAATTATGACATAAAAAAGTAAGATTTATGGCATTCAAAAGCAAAATTATGAGATGAAAAAGTCGAAATTATGACATACTTATTAGTAGTTGTGACTTTTTATGTCACAATGACAAAAGGTTGAAATTATGAGGAAGTCGAAATTATGACATTCTAAATAATACTTATCAGATTAAAAAGTTTAATTTATCAGTTTAAATTTTTAATTGTTCAGATTATAAAGTCAAAATTGTCTTTCTGTAATAATTACGACTTGTCAATTTTGACTTGTTATTATTTTGTCTTTTAATGTCATAATTTTGATTGTCGTAATTGATTGTCATAAAAATAATTTTTATGTCGTAATTATGACTTTTAAGTCAAAATTTCAACATTGTCATACATTTTACTTTTTCATATAATTGTGACTTATCTCATAATTATGAGTTAGAATGTTATAATTTCTACTTTTTATGTAATAATTATAAATGACAAAAGCGTGATTTTTTTTCTTATGTGGCAGAAATGTGCTTCCATAAACATGTGTGATGATGAGGAGGACTTAAATGAGAATGTGTATATTTAATTTTGTATAGACATTCATAACTACAATATTTGTATCCAAAACTAATTTCATGCATTTAATCAAGAAGATTCAGATGAAAATGAACTCAATAGTTGAGGCAGGGTAAAAATAAAGCCATTAAAAATATATATTTTTTCTTTAAAAAAAAAAACCTTAACTAAAATGAAATAAAAGACAAAAAATGTAACTTATTTTATTTCACCTATAGTTGCCAAGGCAATATTTCATATTTCCATTCAGTTTAACTTGATGCACTGCAACAACTGAAACTAAATCTAATAAAAACGACATAGACATATTTTTTTTACAAAAACACACAGCAAAATGACTAAAACTTGAATTAAAATTAAAACCAAAACATAAAATGTACAAATAAAAATCTAATTCAAAATATTAATAAAAACTATAATGATATATCAATGAAATAACAGGAGTTGAGTGTCCAAATCTTTGACTGATCATGTATGTAGTTTTCATTCTCTTGACGTCACGACAAGCTTGAATCTTTCTAGTGACTCGGCACTAAAAATAACGCACAAAAATAGGAAAATAAAACGCATGAAAAATGTGCAATTTTCCGCGAGTGTCTCTGACTCCTCGCCTGCGTATCAGCTCCTGTTTCTGTCGTCCTGCACGGATCTTTAGTGCTAAACACATGATGCGACTGCAAGCCTTTGATTTTACACACATTTCATGCTCGTCTTTTACTCTGCTTCACTGCCAGTGTTCTTACTGGGGACTAAAACTATTACAACTGAAATAAAGCTGGTGGAGAAAAAACTTATTTAAAAATGAACTTATTTAACTTACACTTTTGAAGAATGGAAACGTCTAGGTTACGACTGTAACCTCTGTTCCCTGAGAATGGGGAACGAGACGCTGCGTCGATGACGCTATTGGGGAACGCCCTCCACGTGAACCGGCGTCTGAAAAGCTATCCAATCACGGCAATCTTTTTTTTTTTGATTTTATTGACAAATAATTCCAATTACAGAATTCGGCATACAACAAGAATGCTTCACATGACAAATATCACATGTCCTGAAACAAGGTAAACAAAACAAAACAAAAAGGAACAACAACAAGAGAAGAGAAAAAAGAAAAAGAGAAAAAAAAGCTAAATATTTCTTCCTTTTTCCTATTGACACACTCAATGTTCATAGAGTTTGGTAAACATAGTGGGGGCTCCAATCACGGCAATCGAATTCGACCGGCGACAGTCTATGACGTCACTACTAGTGCGAAATGTTATTTTATTTATTATTCATTTATTTACATTTTTGTTTAAGATTAAGTTTGTTGAAGTACTAAAATTACTAAAACTAAAACAAAAAATGTATTAAAAATATATAGAAATATTCAAAAATCAGAACTTTAGAGCCACAACTATAAACGATGTGTTTATTGCTGAAGTTGGGTGCAAAAAACAATGTGACCCAAAAACAGCAATCAGGAGTTTAGTTCCGCTGAACCGAACCGTGACGAGAGGCAGAACAGCAGAACACACTTCACCTCAAAGTAAAGAGAAAAACTCATGACACTGAAGAAAAAGATTTGCTTTTACATTTTCACTCCGATATTGCTAATCATTTTCACAAATAATTACAAAGAAAAATACTTTCAATTATTTTTTACAAAGTCCACAAGTCTTTTTTACAGTGTATTGTGTGATTTAATCACCATAAAGGCAATATAACACATATAATACAATACATGCGTTATAGTTCATGTCAAATAAGAAATGTGCTAAAATGGCAATAATGTCACAATGCAAAAAAATCAGGATGCCCATAAAAATAAAGGCTTAATTTTCCATATTCCATATTTCATCTTCTGGTTTTGTGGTAAATGTGATTGAGACGTTCCTGACAGGTTTTGTGATGATGAAGCACATGGTCTTGTGTGCAGGTACTCCATCATGAAGATGTGCTGGAACCTGGAGGCCTGTGAGAGACCAACATTCAGTAAGATCGGTCAGCTGATCGAGAGGATGCTGGGAGACACACCTGAGGCGCAGGTAAACTGCAATCATTACATATTCATCACCCGCTACTAGAGGAATAAATAAACCGTACAGCTATTTGCCTGACAAACCAGTGTGCTTATGATTAGGATAATAAATACAATAATATAGGAAGAAATACCAGTTCACAACATCAAGCAGAATAATGGAGTGTTTTTGTTCAGGTAAAATACAAATTATGAATGGCCTCACTTTTTTTGACATTAAAATATGGCCTATTGTTTTTTTAATAGTGAAACAGTACAACACATAACGGTCACATCACATTTATGAGAATACATTTTAATTTTGTATTTTACATTTCAATTTAAAACTAAAATTTAGACACATTTTCGTTTCGTTGCTTGAAATATAATAAACTTTACCTGAAATATAATGTAAAAAAAAAAAAAAAAGTATTTTATTTCAGCTAGTAGCCAAGGCAACATTTCTTATTTTCATTTAGTTTAACTTGATGTTCTAAAATGAATAATAACTGAAATAGAAATGTGTGTGTATATATATATATATATATATATATATATATATATATATATTACAACTTTAAAAGTAAAGTGAGAGTGGAATATACAAAAATAACGATTTCAAAATATATATAAAAAACTATAATAGTGTGTCAATGATACTAAAACAACACTGCATCACCTTAGCACATTATGCATTTCAATTTTGTGTTTTGCATATATTGCATTTTACAACCTTTGCATTTGAATTTTGAATTTCGCATATTTCACATTTTCAAATTTTCTGTAAAAAAAAATCCCTGAACTTTTGTCAGCCTGATCAAATCATGAGATGGGATGTTAAAAATTGAGGTTGATATCACTTCAAGCGCATTAAATCGTGGGTTTCACATATGAAAAATGTAGTCCATCCATGCATATAGTAAAACAGCACACTGTGAGTGTGCACAGTACATACTGCAGTTAAAATAGCATGTTATTTTCAACACAGTCCAGTGTTTGTGAGTAACGAACCAGTCACCTTCTCCTTCACAGGAGACCGAGTACCAAAATGTGCAGTCTGAAGAGCACAGTGACCAAGAACCAGAGTCATGTGACCCTGTGAAGCATGAAGAGGAGTCAAATGAGACGACATGTGACCCGGAAGAAGAAGATCAGCCACTTATGAATGCCAACAACTACCAGTTCTGCTGAGGACATGAACTAACTACTCTCTGTACATCAGACACACACACGTACGCATCATTCATTCATCTTATCTGTGGAAGCTGGTTTCCGTCACAGAATACGAAATAAAAAAGGTAATTGTGACTTCTCACAATTCTGACTTTTCGCGAGTCAATTGTGGGTTTAGATCACACATTTCTGACTTTTCGCGAGTCAATTGTGGGTTTAGATCACACATTTCTGACTTTTCGCGAGTCAATTGTGGGTTTAGATCACACATTTCTGACTTTTCGCGAGTTAATTGTGGGTTTAGATCACACATTTCTGACTTTTTCTGTCGCAATTCCACGTTTATGAGGGAAAAAAGTCTGAATTGTGATCTAAAAAGTCACGATTAACTTTTATTTTTGTATATTCTGTGGCAAAAACAAGCTTCCACAGTTCTCAAACACAGTCCCGGAGTGATTTTACACGCTCTGATTTCGTTGCTCTGCTTCAATGAGGTCTAGTACACTTTGTCTGCTAAGATTAAGAGTGAACCGGTTTCACTTCTCTGCCAAGTGCTCGAGTGGAAAACTCCAAACCTCGGATTGCCTGTTTGGTAAACGTGTGTCTTTTTTTTCCGTTACTTGAACTTCTCGGGCGCCAGGGTTGGAAAGCAGCGTCTTCAGCGTTTTACACGCACTGCATTTGCGAACGCTGCGTGTTTCACTTCCACTTCATTCTTTTGCAATCACTGAAAAACTCACCAAAACAAATAAACAAACATGATGTGCATCTGCATCACACGCACCTCTCCGTATGTCAGCACGGGTTTCATGCAGGACGCAACCAGTGGAGGTCAAAGGTCAGATATGAAATCATTCATCCGCTTTAGTTACTCAATTCTTGTAGGAAAACAGTGTTTTATTGCTTCCCGCAGTGATTACAGGGTTTGGAGTGATAGCGCGAGGTCAGCGCAGGTTTGGAGGACAGATTCACGTCTCCAGCGGGTGAAATATTGACATACTGTTGGCGCAATAATGCAGATAGCTGCGGGTCAAAGGTTAAATGCATTCTCATTAACCCACAACCTTAAATAGCTTTAAAAATAGTGAGGAAAACAACGACTGACCGACCGCACAGAAACCATTTTAGGAAGGAAAACTAACCACTTGCTTTTTCCTGTAACGTAGAATGAAAGGTAGACAAGTTTCATTTCATTTTAATATGCACATTTACACTGCAAAAAAGATTTTCCTCTGTATTTTTGTCTTGTTTACAAGTGCAAACATTCTTAAATCAAGATGCGTTTACTTGAGAAGTTTTTGCTTAAAAAATATCCGTAACACTTTACAGCAAGGTTTCGTTTCTTAACATTAGTATTAGTTAACATAAGAATAAACAATACTTCTACAACATTTTTTCATCTGAACATTTACTACTATATTTTAAAGATCAAAAGTTGTATTATCATTAATGCACCATGAACTAGCATAAACATTTTTAGTAAATGCTATAAAAATATATTGTTCATCGCTAGTTCTTGTTAGTTAATGCATTAATTAACTAGTGTTAACAAATGAGACCTTATTGTAGTGTTTCCGAAATATCCGTCAGTTGGTTCAGAAAAATAATCTTTTCACTTTGAATTAAGTTTATTTTTCTGACCCAAATGGAAGTTATAGACTAATATTTATAGGCATAAACTCACTTCATTTTGATGTTGACATTTTTTCAGAAAGCAAGACTTAATATCATAAATCAAGATCCATTTACCTGTGAATCAAAATGACGTAAGAATTAGATATTTGTAATGGATTTTTTTTTTTCAGTGTAAACTCCTTTTTGATTATTTGGTGTGAATGAAATACATTTATATGGTGGAAATGTTTTAAATTTTCTTACTTTCGTCAAACATTGCGAGTAGTGAAAAATCTGTCGTTTTGTTCTGTAGTTTCTTATTAACGTCTGAATGGTTCTCAGAGCATATATTATCATGGTAGCATCAGACACACACACACTGCCACAGTAACTTCAGGTTGCTTAGAAAATGTGATTAACCTGATGTTTTCTTTCTCAAAGCACAAACTGCCATGTTTATATTATATCTTTTTTTTTACATTTACATAAAGTTGAATTATATGAGATTTCTCAATCAGAATGATGTTTTTTCTCAGTGTTTATCTACATGTATATTATCTAGAAGTATATTAATGGTTCCCTTGATGCTCTCATTAATGAATTCTGCACCTTGGACATCTACAGATCTGTATATTTTTGTTTTGCTACTAATAAAGCAGGAACATGTCAGGTGATCTTGTTTTTATCAGTGAAAATACAGTTTATTGAGAGCGAGTGTGATGTCACTCAATGTCAGCTGCTGCTCCAGTGATCAAGCCAAACACAAACTTCAATATTTGAGTCCGATTCTGTTATGACAGGTCAAAATGCACTCGGAATAAATACTTCAACTTGTCAAAGAGTCTTTCTATGCATGAAAAAAGCTGTCAAAATATGAAATGAAAATAAATACTGTCGGTTTTCCACCTGTAGTGGGTTTCGCTTTTCTGTGGGTAATAAAAAGCTTCTTATTTACAATCATTAACGTGTTAGAAGATCAAGACTCAGAGACACAGTTATTTTTCAGGGAAATTGAAACTGCCGGCATCATTTACTCACCAAACTTGTTTTTTTTAGACAAAAGTACATGTTCACGCTGCTCTTTTCCACACAATGAAATGATTTATATGGGCTTTAAAGCTCTAAAAAGCAACATCCACTGTTATATATGTAGGTGTAAATTTAAGATTATAATTGCATATAAAATATCCATCCATTTGGATTACACCGTTGATCTATTTGATTTGATTTCAATTATCATATTCGCAAAACGCATTTATTAAAATGTATTAGTATCAGCATAAATCTGCTGATTGCGAAAACTATTTAATCCGTTAAAAAGTATCAAGTATAATACGGCAAGCTGTGGAACGAGCAAAATTTAATTAGTTAAAATTTCAGATAGAAACAAACTGTAAACATTGATAATAAATAAATAAATCTTCATATATAAATATGATGATATATAAATACTAATATGGTTATTGTGTATTTAAAATCACATTCACTTACAGAAATGCAGTTTCATTCATGTATGAATGATAAAAATGCATCACATTTTATTAGTTAAACTAATTAACTGCATAAAAAACTATATGTTAAAACTGAAATCCAAATGGATTGAAATTGTATATGTAAATCTTAAAGGGATAGTTCCCCCAAAAGTGAAAAATCTGTATATTTTGAAGAATATGAGTAACTGAACAGTTGTTTGGCCCCATTGACTTATAGTATGGAGAAAAAAAATACAATGAAAGAAGAAATAAACTCATACAGGTTTGAAACAACAGAATTAGCATTTTTGGATGAACTGTCCCTTTAAGATTAGTATCTAGTATCATTACAATACATGAGTGCTATATCAATTTCTTCTGAAATCATAAGAGACTCTTGTTGTATGAAAAAGAGCTGCATGAATCATTTCCAGATTGAACACCAACGACATGTAGGTGAATAAATAAGGACAGAGTTTATTTCTGCATGAATTATTCCTCACAGTTTCTGTTTCTCCCCACACCATCTCTTAAATAAAACCTGAAGTCATTTCCCAGGCACATTTCCAGCTTGTGTTTGTCGAGTAACCCGTCCCTGCTTCAGTCGAGCATCACCTCCTCAAACACAAGTCCATCTGAGTGTTTGTCCAGGCCTTCTTCCTCCGGGTCAGTGTTGATCTGTGCCACTCCGAGCCTGTAGAGGGCGTCCCGGATCATCACCACCTCTCCCGGCTGGCACGCGCTCAACACTTCTGCGATCTGCTGGTTCACGATGTCTCTGCTGCTCAGGAAGTCCAGTAATCTGTTGTAGAGGTAGTAATACGCTGCGTTCTCGAACACTAGAGCCTCACGGCTGTGGTTGTTGCTGGTTTCGCCCTCGGACTGGTCCCACATCTCGGAGACGATGCCGGCGTAGGGCTCGAGCTCTTTGCAGAGGCTCATGGCGTGCTGGGCGTCGTGCTGGGCGTCGTGGGGGGCGTCGGGTCGCACTATCCAGCGAGACGAGGATTTGGTGAGCGGGTGCAGATGAGGGTTTGATTCAGTTGCTGTGAGATCTAAACTGTACGGTTGATCCTGAAGCTCCGAGCACGACACGTACTGAGAAAGAGAAGAAGAACGCTGTGAGACTGACATGTTCAACGCACAATCAGTTGTTTTGAAATCTTTGTACAACAAGTTCACTGCAAGGACAATCTAAATTATGTATAGAAATCAATTACACCTTTTTTTAAGGCATATTTTCATATATTATCAGCACTTATACACTTCCCATCGCCGAAAAACCGCGATACACCCCCCACGATACGTATCGCGATACTCTCATGGCGAACCGAACACGCCCCGCCCCCTGCGGCCCCGCCCAGCCCCGGCTCATTGCACCTCATGTGTTGTGTACACAACGAATACAGGGCTGATGCCTAACCACCCTTAACCACATATAATCCCAATAAGCTCAGTGTTTTGTTACTTTTGATAATAAGCAAGGTGTAATCTTTCAAATTATGTCTATTTGATCACGAAATGCAAACAATAAATGCCGTTTTGGCGCTCTTACATGTGGCGTGACAGATATCACTGTATGCATGCGGCAGCGCGGACCGCGATCATCTCTTCCTCAGTTACAGAATAAACATGAATGGACACCCGAAGGTATGTTGAAAGATACAGTATACTTACTGAAAGGCATCATAACTCGTGTAAACACTCAATCAGTGTTTCAACAGCGGAAATACGTCAATAAAACGCTTAGTTTTTCACATAGCTTTATATTTACCTCAGGCAAGTCATTCAGTGTCCACAGCTTGCTGGTTTGCTAACACTTTCACTAAATAAATGCTATATATTACCCTTTATATTATATTTTACTTAACCTGTTTATGATATCTTGATTATTTAATGTATGTTTAAAATAGTTGTCATGAAAATAACAGCAACTGTGTAAATTATTATATAACAATAACAAATTAGAGTAAAAACATGTTAATGCAAAAATTGCCTTATGTGCAGTTTACATGTTTTCATACAATTTGTTATTTGAGTGTTGAT